AATACATTTTGGCCTAAATTTATGAAAAAATGTATTGCTGTATATGTTTTATAGCAAAAAGTAAAAAACTATAGTTTTTTTTTTACAAAATTGTTGGACATTTTTGTTTATAGCGCAAACAATAAAAAATGCAGAGGTGATCAAATACCACCAAATGAAAGCTCTATTTGTGGGAGAAAAAGGACATAAATTCCATTTGGGCACAGCATTGCATGACCGTGCAATTGTCAGTTAAAATAACGCAGCATCGTATCGCAAAAAATGGCCTGGTCAGGAAGGGGGGTGAATCTTTTGGAGGGCAAGTGGCTAAAGTAGAACTGTGCTCACCTTCTATCCAGTGGTGCAGTGTCCCTGAGCTCCCTGCTGGCCACTGACATCTTTATCCGGTCTGCTTCTGGGTATTGATCTCTGGCCAATTGTATTAGCCAGACCCAGATGATATCACTTCTTCACCTCAGCATTGCCAAAACTGTACAATGCTCAGAAGAGGTAAGAAACTTTAACGCAGAAATTCATTGTGGCGTTGATCTATTAAATTGGAGAGTGCAAAATCTGGTGAAGCCGTGCATGGTAGCCAATCAGCTTCTAACATCAGCTTGTTCAATTAAGCTTTGACAAAAAAAACTGGAAGCTGATTGGTTTCTTTGCAGAGCTGCTCTACATTTTGCACTCTAGATTTAGCAAATAAATGCCAGTATTTCTCTAATGCATTAAAAATGTGGACTTTTATCAACTAAAGTTCCATTTTAACTACCCAGTTTATGGTGTAAATGTCACATATGTTTTTTCAAAAGGAAAAATGTTCCCTATTGAATTCTCACATACCTCACCTCTCTGTGACTTTAACATACATCTATAAATGTTACTTTTACTAATGCCATTAGCGTAAATTCATTTTTTTCTTTATAGTTAACAGCATAAGCATCATTACAGACCAAGCAGGGAGACTGATGATGAAAATAGAGATAAGGAAATGATGATGGTCTATATAAAATATGACCTGTCAAATTATGGAAACATCAAGTGACAGTGAATGTCGATACAAATGATGCTGTAGACCATGTGGCTCACTGCTCATGCATCTACCAAGTGACAATGGCAAACAAATAGCTCGAAACATTTGATAATCGCTGGAGCTGCTGGACATTTGAGAATGAGTAATTACTAATAAAATGATGTGGATGAAGAATAGAGTAAGGTTGCTGGTGGCCACTGGGCTGAAATATAACAGTAGAGTGCAGCTGGGTAAAGATTTGTACATCATCTGCCCAGGGGCGGACTGACAACTCATGGGGCCCCCGGGCAATAGGGGATCACGGGGCCCGTGTCCTTGCCCACACTCAAACCACACCCAAAAAAGCCTATGAAATGTACCAGGGGCATCTCATGGGGCCCCCTGCTGACCCTGGGCCCTCGGGCAGTGCCCGAGTTCCCGAATGGTCAGTCCGCCCCTGCATCTGCCTTGCTACAACATAGTCTGTATCTACAAACATTGCCTTTATACCATTTGCAAATGACAATCCATATAGCACTGCACGCAGAACTCTTGAGAGTGAAACCACAAGCAGTAGTATTGCTGCTAGAGATCCCAGAGTCTTAAGGTGGGAATACACAATTAGAAAATCGACCGATCCGTCATCTGACGACTGAGAGGAGTTCATTCGTTGGTCGAAATCGTGGCCCACATTAACCAATCTAGAAAAATCGTTTGTTGGGCAATACGTAGTGGAAGTGATGCAGTGTGCGTGTGACCTTGTAGCCACGCCCTTCCAGCCAGAACAAGCGATATACACAACAATTAACAGCAATGAGTATAATATAGTTTATTACATTACCTATATACATAAATAGTGATACATAAAATATAATCTGCATCATTCTGGTTTCATAATCTCATTAGGCCAATCTACTTTTAACATTTCGGTTTTTCTTTCGTGTTTACGAAGATTCCTTGGACATATATATCCGGGTCATCTTCTGTTTCCGCTCATGCGTGATAGCGCTTGATAGATTTTTTTTTGTACGACCGTCATACCACCACATAGGAAATCGGTCATTCGTATGCGAAACAACAACATTTTTCACTGTTGTTCAACCGGATTTTTTCATTCACAATATCGTATTCAAAACATCCTGCTTATCAACGAAGAGAAAATCGTTTGATCAGTGGTTCCGCAAAATTTTTCATTCGATTTTCTTATCGTGTGTACAGGGCATTAGTCCTCATGCACACTTGACACTTTTACAGCTGCTATTTTTGGCTTTGATGATTTTTTCTACAGCTAGTAAACCCCCCATCATGTTATCCTATGTGTCCATACACACATAGACTGTAATCAGCGTTTTTTTGGCAGGGACATTTTTTGGCTGGAAAAAAAACCCAGGACTAGTGGGTTTCTAGAGGAGTTTTTTAGCTGTAAAAATGATCTAATGCTGAAAAACGTGAGAAAACGTCGCAAAACTCTGCTAAACTCTAATGTAAAAACGCTAAAAAAAAGATGAAAAACTCACGTTTTTAACGTGACTTTACACAGCTAATGTTACCAGCATTATATGAAATGTCCCGTATGCATGAAGATATTACGGACAATGTCATCTGTTCCCTAATATGGCATGGCTGGTCAGCCCCAGCTACCATATACTCTATCTCTTCTCAACAGCAGCGTGACTTATGAACCCAAATCATTATTTGACCCACAGATGAACACACCATAGTTAGTATCAAAATATAGATTGTGAAACTGTTTATTTACTTTTTTCTACATCCACTATCTGCAAAAAGTAACACACTGCATGGTTGGAAATGGTATGTTAACCACTTGCCCTCCAGAGGATTTACCCCCTCCCCTTCCTGACCAGGCCATCGTTTGCATTACGGCTCAACATTATTTTAACTGACAATTGCGCAGTCATACAATGCTGCACCCAAATGAAATTTACGTCCTTTTTTCCCCCACGAATAGAGCTTTCTTTTGGTGGTATTTGATCACCTGTGCAGTTTTTATTTTTTGCACTGTAAAAAAAAAGGTTGACAATTTTGAGAAAAAAACAATATTTTTGACTTATAAAGGTAAATATATATGCTCATGCAAGCTGCTAACACCTTTTCCTTATACCAAAGGATGCACAATTATATTTGAGATGATGGTGAAGCGCTATGCATATAAAACAATTAATTTAATAAATAAACCGTGATTAAATAATTATATTATATTCTACTAAAAATATATAACCATACATATGCATAAATTAATAAATCAATTCACAGTGATTATTGCTAAAAACACACTTAAAATCTCTGGTGATTATGTGCAAAACCCCAGGTCACACAATGACCTAAACTGTGCCAAAAGGAACCCCCCAATTCCGATTGGGAGATATAAATATGGTGTGTCTCTCAATATCCTCAATATAAAGTGACTGGTGCTCAAAACAATACATATAAACATATATCAATATGGCAGAAAAAAAGATATATAAAAGGGATATGTCACTCAATATAATCCATTCAAAGTGACTAGTGCTCAAAACAATGGATATATACACATATCAAAATAACAGAAAAAATAAAAGTAAAATAAAGTCCACAATGTAGTGCAAACCAATATGTGCAAAAATTGGTGTGCAAATATAAAGTGCTTCACTTGTTCACTACAACCATATGTGCTCGTGCAACACTCTGGTGTATCTCAATCCTAAAATGGCTAGAGTGCCTCCTCACCTCCTTAACTCGACCCCTAGGGGACACAACTCTTTAATCAGCAGGTACTCCACAGCATAAGCAGGTACTCCACACCATAATGACAAACAGCTGGCTCCAATGGCTCCCCTTAGTCTCCACTGACAGATCAGGTTCCCCCTCAAATACTGGTCCCCGTAGTCCAGCTCAAGGATGCATAATATAAAACTGGGCCATAAAGGAGTAGACAAAAAAGCCCTCCATAGTGTGATACTATTTATTTAAATAGTAACAGAAATAGCCAAATGAACACTCATTGTTAGGCAGGTACAAACTAGCGGTTTCCAATGTGCTATGGGTGTACTGTGGGACACTGAGTGTACTAAAATGGCGTCTACCGGAAGTACGTCAACCGGAAATGCGTCACTGCGCTCTACGCATTACTCTGCGATTATCACGTGGCTTCTTTAGGTGGAGTAACACGTAGAGCGCAGTGACGCATTACCGGTTGACGTACATTCGGTAGACGCCATTTTAGTACACTCAGTGTCCCACAGCACACCCATAACACATTGGAAACTGCTAGTTTGTACCTGCCTAACCGCGAGTGTTCATTTGGCTATTTCTGTTACCATTTAAATAAATAGTATCACACTATGGAGGGCTTTTTTGTCTACTCCTTTATGGCCCAGTTTTATATTATGCATCCTTGAGTTGGACTACGGGGACCAGTATTTGAGGGGGAACCTGATCTCTCAATAGATTATATTGAGTGACATTATCACTTTTATATATCTGTTATATTGATATATGTTTATATGTATTGTTTTGAGCACCAGTCACTTTATAGTGAGGATATTGAGAGACACACCATATTTATATCTCCCAATCGGAATTGGGGGGTTCCTTTTGGCACAGTTTAGGTCATTGTGTGACCTGGGGTTTTGCACATAATCACCAGAGATTTTAAGTGTGTTTTTTAGCACTAATCACTGTGAATTGATTTATTAATTTATGCATATTTATGGTTATATATTTTTAGTAGAATATAATATAATTCTTTAATCACTGTTTATTTATTAAATTAATTGTTTTATATGCATAGCACTTCACCATCATCTCAAATATAATATTTTTTGCTTTTTGCTATTAAACATGTCCAGTAGAGGACAAACGGCGGTCCCATCACGCTAAGCTTCTTATCTTGCCTTCTGTTTTATTGTAAAAAAGAGATCTTGATTAAGTGGACTTCCCTGGCCGCTGCGGAGTTATCGGCTTGGGAGGTGCGGGTGGGACGCCGCCAGGGGCGGACTGACAACTCATGGGGACCCGGGCAATAGGGGATCATGGGGCCCCTGTGTCCTTGCCCACACTCAAAAAAAGCCTATAAAAGGTACCAGGGGCATTTCATGGGGCCCCATACTGACCCTGGGCCCTCGGGCAGTGCCTGAGTGCTCGAATGGTCAGACCGCCCCTGGACACCGCTTTATCCATGTATAGACTTACGTATATTAATCGGGGTTGTCCTTGGAAGTATGACAAGGTGTGGGCTCGATTGTTAGCTGGGTAGTGCCTTTTCTCCTCTTCCTCTGTATCCCCCCTTCCCTCCTCTTTATCCTTTTTCCCTTTTTTTCTTCTCTCTCACTCCCCCCCACCCTTCTTTTCTTTTCTTTTTTTTTCTTTCTCTCCCCTTTTTTTTTTGTTGGGATTTGCCATTGCTTTTGGTTGTTGTATGTGTTCTCTACAATGCTCATGTGTGACATCCTACTCGCGTGTGCCTCCTTCCCGTAAATGCGAAGTGATTTTGCACACCCATTCCGCCCTGTAGCAGTACTTCTACTATAGGGTGGACAGAAGGCGGTTAAACTACTAGTACTTGTAAATGGGATTTTTTTTAAAACTGAGACCATGGATTATCAACACAATCAAAGAAATATGGGGGGAAATTAAGCGAGATGCAAGGTTGCTAAAATCTGTAAACTACTTGACATAAACCATCAAATGTTTTAATATATAAGCATTGCATTCATTTCTGTGATTCAGGTTTAATTCTGTTTTTTAGATCAGATCACTATGCATTTAGTTTTAAATAGAAAGTAATAAGGAAGTAAAGCTGATCCAGGGAATATCTGATTGCCTCTTGGGGGATCAGAAAGGGATTTTTTTCTCCTGCAGGAGCAAATTGGATCATGTTTTGCTGGAGTTTTTTTTGCCTTCCTCTGGATGAATTGTAGGTAAAGGATTATAACTTGTTTTTCTTTTTTTTGGTTGAACTAGGTGGATTTTTGTCTTTTTTCAGCCAGACTATGTAACTATGTAAGGATACCATTGCTACTGTGAAACCTTTGGACAGCTCTGGTGTCCATTAGGGCCCTCTTAATTAATTTTTCATTTCATTTGCCTTTCTCAACTATTTTCTTCACTTGTCCTAATATATCTTTGTGTTTGACTGACACTTTACAAGTTCCCCCAATTATACGTGTAGCTGTAACAGGGACAATAGATTGTAAGCTCACTTGGTGCAAGGTGCAATTTGAATTGTCCGTTTTATAATAACATTCAGAAAACATTATACATGTGACCTATATATGAAAATACATTTGATAGAAGTCCTTCCTTTCCCTTTATTGAGTTAAATCAGCAAAATATATTTGACTTACAATTTTAAAAATAGATTTAATCATTAGAAGGAAGCCTGGTAGTTTAAATACTTCATAAGCCATTTTAATTATTTGCCTTGTTGGAAAATATCAATTATTTACAAGAGTTATCAGTTCCTATGAGCGAAGTGCATAAAATATGTAGAGGCTTTTTAATTTTCCTTCAGAACTTCAACATGCAGTTACACTTTGATTTAGAATATATGCCTGACTCATGGTAAATAAGCAAGTGATGTATACAATTAATTTATTAATACTTTGGACAATATTTTACAATTCAACTTGATCCCTAATGGTTTTTGAAAATTGAACTATCAATTTCGATTCATATTTAAGATCACTTTTTAAGAAACATAAGCAAATGTACTGCAATTACATGTAGTAACATATGGGTACATCTTAAAAAAGCTGTCTTTATAAAAAAAAAAAAAAAGGAATAGTATATGCAGTGTATGCTATGTATTTGCAACAATAAACTTGCATCGGTTGTTTCTGGAATGTTAATGTAAGACCCTTCTATTTGCAATCCATATTCTAATGAACTCTGTAGCAGCTGCTCACTTTGAATATAAATGAAGAGAATTGATCACAGTTTGCAGAAAAATATGCTTAGTTTCATTCTGAAAGCTGCCATGTTAAGAGACATGGTAGACAGCTTAACATACACCCCAAATATGTGATAGGATTACATTATTACAACTAAAGCAGCAGTGTTGCTGAATTTCATTGTGTTCTGAAAGCATTTCTAAAATATATTTAATGCCGACTACACATCAGAGTGTTTTCAGCAAGTTTTAATATTATGAGTTATTTTCTGAAAATAAAAGTGCAACTGGGTCACATAAATATAGTGGGGGGACAATAATAAGTATTAAGACTTTATTCTCAGAGAGGTGAGCAATGGCAGTCTTTAGGGTTTCCTTAACCGCTTGACCCCTGGAAGGTTTTACCCCCTTCATGACCAGGGCATTTTTTTTTGCTATTCAGCACTGTGCTACTTTAACTGGCAATTGCTCGGTCATTCAAAACTGTATCCAAATGAAATGTATATCTATTTTCACACAAATAGAGCTTTCGTTTTGGTGTTTTTTGATCACCACTGAATTTTTCATTTTTTATTATATAAATGAAAAAAGACTGAAAAATGTGAACAAAACAATATTTGTAAAATCATCATAAACAGCGCAAATAATAAAAACAAATAAAGAGATAAATAGTCCCACTCCAAAAATCATGTAAAATAAAGTGTCACAAAAAAAAAAAAAAAAAAAAAAATATATATATATATATATATATATATATATATATATATATATATATGTATATAATTAAAACAAAAACACACCAAAAGAAAGTCTTTGTTCAAAAGAAGTGTGCTTCCACCACGAACCAGTGCTCCAACCAACATATATGTATATGTATATGGTATACCGCACTCACCAGATTCTGGTGAAGTGAACGCCTTTTAGGTATTTTAGGGATCCTAGACCTTTCTTTTCAGCCTTCAGAACTCCACTCTACCTCATGAGACCTTTAATCCACCTTCTAATATCTCAAAACTTCCCCTCCCAAACAGGCTCCAAATTAGTGTAGGAAAACACCCAACATGCAATAATGTCAAAGCACCAGGCCATTCACATTTGATAGAATAAAAACCAGCATTATTTATTGCCTCCAAAAGGCTATCACAGCTTTCAATACATCCAGGACAGCATCAGAAATCCCACAGCTTGGCAGAAGATGACAGATTGTCTATCCACAGACCTGCAATTCCTTCACATTATGTAGCACCAAACATGTATCCCAAAACCAATTACTACAGACATTAATTCTATAGGAAATTTGGGCCACAGTGTCATATTTCAAAAATCTGATTGGTGCAAAACAATGATTATATCCCCAGACTATATAGACAATTTGAGAAACATGCCAATTACTCCCCCATAACCCTCAATAAAATTCTTTATTAGAATAAAACGTAATATATATTAAACCCAAAATAAAAAATAAAAGTAAAAATAAAAATAGAAACAGAAAAATATAAATGCAAAATATATATATATAAAAATAAAAAATATAAATAAAAATATAAAAAATAATAAAAATAAAAATGTATAAAGTTCCAAAATTTGCACTCAGATAAGCTGTGGGATTTCTGATCTGTCCTGGATGTATTGAAAGCTGTGATAGCCTTTTGGGGGCAATAAATAATGCTGGTTTTTTTTTTTATCAAATGTGAGTGGCCTGGTGCTTTGACATTATTGCATGTTGGGTGTTGCAGTATTACACTATAAGTGTTTATATTTTTTTCCTACACTAATTTGGAGCCTGTTTGGGAGGAGAAGTTTGGAGATATTAGAAGGTGGATTAAAGGTCTCATGAGCTGGAGTGGAATTCTGGAGGCTGAAAAGAAGGGTCTAGGATCCCTGAAATACCTAAAAGGCGTTCACTTCACCAGAATCGGGTGAGTGCGGTATATGTTGGTTGGAACACTGGTTTGTGGTGGAAGCACACTTCTTTTGAACAAAGACTTTCTTTTTGGTGCTTTTTGTTTTTATTATATATATTTTTTGTTTTTTTTATATATTTTACATGATTTTTGGAGTGGGACTATTTATTTGTTTTTATTATTTGCGTTGTTTATGATAATTTAAAATTTTTTTGTGTTTATCACACTTGTGTACAGCAGCATTTAATTTATTTATTAATTGGGTATGCACAATATTTTGGCGCCAGGGATTTATGGTTATAAAACAATATTTGCTACTTTCTGTTATAAAACATATCCAATTAAAAAAAAATCAAATTTCTTTATAAATTTAGGCCAAACTTTATTCTTTTATGTATCTCTTGTAAAAAAAAAATCCCAATACGTTTATATTAATTGGTTTGTGTGAAAGTTATAGCTTTTACAAACTATGGTATATATACTGGAATTAATGCAGCTATACTGTAGATGCTATAATAGTAATGGCGGTGATCAGCGAATTATATTGGGACTGTGATAGTAGGGTGGGCAATCTGAATTGGAGGGACACTAATGCTTGGTTCACACTGAATGCGATTTAAAATCATGCATTTTGTTTCCGATTTCACCGCGTTTTCTGAAGATTTCCCAATGATTTCTTACATTTCTCATTGTGTTTTGCAGTGCGATGTCTATTGTAGTCTAGATGTGAAATCACAACAAACTGCAGAAAAAGTAATACAAGAACTACTTTTGAAATCACAGTGCAGCAAATCACTTATGTTAAGACATTCACATTCATTAGATCCAATTTCAGGTACGATGTCAATTCCCGAATCGCACCTTAAATCGCGACGGTGTAAACCAGGGTTAACTGACACTTATATGTCAGTGATAATACTGTGCACTGTACACCGTAATAAAAACACTGGCTGGGAAGGGGTCATCATCTAGGGGCAATCAAGGGTTTCAGGGCTCATGTACACGGGACATTTGGAAAACACTTCTGAATGATGGAAACTGACTGCTGGAAAACGTAGGTTAAAAAACGTCTGTTTAGCCGCGTTTGCATACCGCATTTATGCACTTTTGCGTTTAGAAGCGTTTTTTACAGATAATATCAGGAGACCTTCCAAAATGCCCAGAATGCACTGAAAAACAGTAAAAAATTAACTATTTCAGACATTTTGAGAGAAATAGAGCAGAAGCAGAGAGAGCAGTATGTGTTGAGATGACCTGTCTTTTCTGGTTGTATTCACTATGGATCCCATCATGAGCATAATGCAGCATGTTCTACCATTTTTTCACGAAACCTG